CGTCCATGATTCATTTGTCCTCTGATCACTATTTGCCATGATGTCGACTCGAGACTAGCGTTCTCGCCGAAGAAGCATTGAGATGACTTGTGCGTCGGTTGACCTCGTAAGTTGCTAAATGAACTAGAAAATCCTCTATCAACGATCGAGGGTGCGTGTTGCTATAGAGGTCTGGAGAGCTGCATTGGTTTGATTTAGGTTTGCTTGGGGACAAGCAAACGGTTAAGTGTGGGGGGATTTGATGACTCGATATTTGCACATATTTTCCCCTTTGTTTCTTGATTGTTTAAGCTTGCATTATCACTTCTTTGGCCTATTTTACGCTAGGTTGTGTTCCTTTGTCAAATTTCAGGTACTAGCACATAAAGTGAAGCATAGGCGCAAGTTTCAAGTCAATCGGAGATCAATTGGCGACTCGGGGGGAAGAAACTCAAGTATGACTTGAAGAAGAATGGATTTCTACTTCATTTTGTGACCATATAATCATGTAATCTTGTCATGAGAAGAAAGAGGACGAGACTACGAGCATCTGGGATCAAACGGCACCTGATTTGCAGTCCGAACGAGGGAGAAACGAAGAATCAAAGATAGGGGACCCGGAACTGCAAAATACCCGACCATAATACCCTACCGGGTATTTTGGCCATCTGATAGGGGATTTTTGGCAGCATCAGAAGGCCCCTCGATCGTGAACCAAAAATACACGACCGGGTATTTTCCCTTTTGCCCAGAAGAGTGACCCGGAGCATTTTGTTGATACCCGACCGGTTCCCTAAATACCCGACTGGGTATTTGGACAGGGGGGTCCCGAACACATGCTGTTAAAAGCCTGTTCTGTGCATTTTTGCAGGAGAGAGCTGGGTTTTGGATCCCAATCACCCAAGGGACGAACCAAAGAGAGAGGCAATTTGAGGGCATTCTTGGAGTGGGATTGGAGGATTTCTTCGCCTTGGAAGCTCGAGGAACAAGCCCGAACTTGAAGACTGATCATCTAAAGATTCTTACTGCAGTCTCTCTCTTCTCTATGGAGTAACTTCCCTTCACTTAGGGTTTGAGGAACCCTAGTTATGTTTGTTTGATTGGATGATTGTATGAGTACTCTTACTTGATAATCTTGAGTTCATATTCAATCTATGCATGTTTTCATGATTCAATTCTGCTTTAGTCGAGATTATTGATTCTGCTTTGATCCTATGAGAGCGAATACCTGATTAGGTCAATAGAGCGCCATAGATTGATAGTATTGGATCGATTGCTTTAGTCGAGGGTCGATTCACTGCTTTGTATAGATTGATAACCTCGTTCGATAGAGGGAATCTTGTTCAGAACGCGTTGATCGGTTGTTCTAGAGAAGTATACGTCCCCCTAGGCAATTGACTCAAGAGAGCTTTGTTCCTTTAGTCGAGACTCAAGGTCTAGTTAAGGATTCTCCGCATTGTGAATGAAAGTGAAACAAGTTAGAGATCATCAATCATTAATCTTGCTAGTTGCTAGGGGGAATCATACCTAAGTGAGTTTACAACCTGTAATTAGATTAACTTTAACTGTAGTTTGCTAGAATAGTTTTAGTTCTTCCATCTTAATCTGGTTTGCTAGATAATGAACTGAAGCTGAGTAATAATAACTCTAGAGACCCGTAGATTCGATATTTATTACTTGAGCCACTATACTGCAGTCCCTTTCATTGGTTACACTTGGCCATTGTTAGGATTTGTGTCATAGCGAGTCAACCCTACTGTCCACCCATCTGGACCTGGAGACTTAGCTGGATTCATGTCAAAAAGAGCTTGTCTAATCTCCTCTCCAGACACCAACCCACAAAGCATACTTCTATCTGCATCTGTAAGCTTCACACTCAATCATCCATCAATAAGTTCACAGTCCACCTCCACATCTTTATTAATGGTTCCAAAAAGATCCTTATAGAAATAGATTGTTTCATCAACAACGTCCTTCATGTCAGTTAACTCCTCCTCATTATGAGATATTATCTTACTAATCTTCTTTCTGGCATTACGTATACAAGCATACTTATGGAAAAACCCTGAGTTGGAGTCCCCAAGAGCAAGCCAGTTAATACAAGACTTCTGTCTAAAGAAAGCCTCTTCTGCCTTTTGCAACTTCACATAGTCACCAGCAAGATGCTGAACTTCCTCAAAAACCTTTTCAAATGAAACCTGGAGAGCTTGGATCTGTTTAGTTGTAAGCTCTATCTTTTTCTCCTTTACTCTAGCAGAAATATCTGAAAACTCTATTTTATTCAATTTCCTAAGTTCTGTTTTCAGAAAGTATAACTTCTGCTTAACACCAAACAACCCATTTCCCCTCACTTCTTGCCCCCAACACGATTCCAGTAATGAAGAGAAAGAATCATGGGAAAACCACATATCAAAAAATCAGAATGGTTTCGGGTAAGACTTTCCAGGGACACTTGGGGTAATCAGAATCCCACAGTGATCAGAGAAATCAGGAGCCAGAAATTCAACAACACATTCAGCAAACTGCTCTAACCAATCCACATTAACCATCAATCTATCAAGCTTGCGAGCAATGGGATTACCTAGGTGATTTGGCTGATTTTATCATTGGTATTGAGTATTGTGGGTTACCTAAGTGTTGTGGTGCTTGTGGGGTTTTTGAGCATGACTGCTCTTTGCCCCCTCCTGGGTCTCCTACTAAAAGAGTTTGGCGGCGCAAGCGTTCCAAAGTTCTTGTGTTGGGGCAGCCTGTGGTTGAGGGTACTGAGAAGAGGGAGTATCCTGTGCTAGAGGCTGAGAGCACTGCTAAGAAGGGGGTTACTCAGGATTCAGGGGAGGGAGCTGTTGTTGATAAAGGAAAGAAAGTTATGGAGGATTATACTCCTCCTGTTACCCCGAGTGCTTTACCCTCTCAGGAGGAGTTCAATAAGGTGATTAATGGAGCAAAGCCAAAATCTGCTCCGAAGGTACCTACTCCTATTTTGCAGTCTAATGCGTTTGAACTGTTATGTGGCCAAAGAGACATTATCTTACAAGCTCCTCCAAAGAAGGGAGGAAGAGATGGGCTTCGAAGTAAAGGGGGAACCACTAAGGTGGTTGTTTCCCGCAAATGACGCTGCTAGTTTGGAACACAAGGGGCTTCAATGGCCCCTTAAAGCACAATGCAGTGCTTCAGTACCTTCGGGTGTATAGGGTTTCGATATTTTCTTTACTTGAAACAAGAGTGCAAAACAAAGAGAAAATTGAGGAAATAAGGGGGAAGTTTGCTGGTTACCAATTTGTGGATAATTACTCTAAACATAAGCTAGGAAGGATTTGGATCGCGTGGAATGATGATGTCACCTTACGTGTGTTAGCTGAGGAGGAAAACTTTATGCATATGGTGGTTTCACTGAAGCAGGGAGCACAGTTCTTTCTTACAGTGGTGTATGGTTCCAATGAGGACAAGAATCGGGTTGTCACATATAAGCAGATGAGTCATTGGAAGGTGCAGGGGTCTCTTTGGGTGGTAGGGGGTGATTTCAATGCTATCCTGGACCCTGCAGAAGTCTCTAATGAGGTCTCTATCTCAGGAAGTATGGTTGCGTTTAGAGAATGGGTGGAACAGATGGAGCTAGTTAACCACACAGCTTCTGGCCCTCTATTTACCTAGTCAAATCAGCAACAAGGTAATCACGAAGAGTTTACATATTAACTTTCATAATAACTCTTTATTGATAAAACTATCTGACTTAGTAATAGTAAGTCCTCTATACCAAATTATAATAATAATACCACTCATACCTACTCATCATACTCTAATAAGAAAAGCTTAAATCCACATACAGAAACCAAACAATTTAATTAATATTTTTTATCATGTCGGTAGATTTTGTTTTCTTACAAAGCTAGAGTACACAGTACAGTAACTATCACCTGCCTGTTACTGAAACACAGGGATCTGTATCATTGGATCCAAACCAATCTCGAAGATAAGGAAATCTCCTTGTTTATAATTGTAGGGGACCAATTCCTTCTCTCTTTATCCCTTACCTCAACCAAATCTCTTCCATCCAGACGACGGGGCTGGGCCAATTGATTTTGAGAAGAATCCATATGAGAAGAAGAAAATAATAATATTGATTTTCCTCATACTAGCTACTACGGCAAGTTCTGAATGACGAGTTTTCACAGTACAATTAGAATTCAGTTAAAGTCCTAATCAGAAAATTGTACTGAGGAAGTGAGGATTGCTCCCATACAGCATTGTCCAAACTATCTTATTAATCCAACTACTACAGCCATATTTCTGCCAACCTCTGATATTTGTGATGAAATTAACTACAAATTTTCAACTCGATATTTTATGACTTCGTGAAAAAACGAATTATGTGTGTTTAACTAGCTTAAATGCTATTCTTGAAAGTATTGGTACTTCTAGATATATATAAGTTGAATTTGTATCATAACGAATTATGTGTGTTTAACTAGCTTAAATACTATACCTGAAAGCATTGGTACTTCTAGATATAAGTTGAATTTGTATCATAACGTTAAAAAAAAAATACAACTTTTAATTTGTACCATAAAAGAATCACAAATTAAACTGTGTGCACTCCAAATGTGCGCCATATTCTAATTTAAAACAATGATTAAAAATTGTAAATATTTTCCCCATTTCTTAAAAAAATTCATTCCACCAAGTTCGAACTTAGAATACTAATTAATCAGAATAATCATTTGATTTTTTTTTTTTTTGTAAACTTTTTATCTAATTCGATTATCTTTGACTTGCGGTCCTTTTCCATGTTTCCATTCCCACCCCTGCCCTGCATTCCATCTTACAGAAGCAAAATTAACAACAAAAAACCAACAGCTCGATAGCTAAATTAACAAGGATATTCATTATCCAATAATCAATAAAATTCAAGTACCAGCAACATGTACTTCTAATTTTCTCTCCGATTCCTTTTTTTTTTCCCCTTCCTTTTTTACACATATTAGCAAATTCCCTATTTTATTTAATTTAGAAGCTTAAGAAGACTAGAGTTCTAGAAATGAGCAGATGATGATTAGTGGTGATGATATGGAGCAATATTGGTATCAGAAAGCCGTTGGGAGATTTCAGGTGTAGCGTCATTATCATGATTATTATTACAGTAATTAGTGGCTGCTGCCGCAGTAATCTTCCTCCTTTTAGACTTGTTGCGGTTGTTGATGGCCATCGTCATCATAATATCGTCGACAGCTGCTTCTACTTGGCGAATAGTACCGCCATCGCTGCAGCTGCTGCTGATACTGCTGCTAGTGGTGGATGATGCTGCAGCAGCAGCAGCAGCAGTGGAGATAATATCAATGGTCCCATTCATACTCTGCTTCATTTCCTCTTCTTCTTCTTCTGACGACGATGAGGACCGGAAGAAGTGGCGATGAAGCAGGTTGACCGGCGTATCCGAGCTGGACACTCTGTCCATAACTGACTCGTACTCTTCCATTGCCAGCTCCTGCATTTCCTTGTAGCTCTCTAACATCATTTCCTGTGCCATGCACCACAAATTTTTTTTTTTTTTTAACAAAAAAGAAGGTAAATTTTGGATTTTTTCTGGGCTGGGATTCAAAATTGAAAAGAATATTATCACCGTAAATCAATTCAATTTCAATGAAACTACCACACTGCATAGTAAATATCTAAACGTTACATCTCTCTATAATTAATTCTTGACTAATCTGAGTGTTATGAATTAGAGATGACAATTTTTTTCTATCTTTAGTTACTTCATTCAACCTGACTTGAACTATTTGTAACGGTCGTCACGTGAATTGCTCGAATACGAGCATGAATCCTCTTTTCCTCTCATTCTTCCTGACATTATTCACATTACTTTTACCTTCCCTTATCGCATGTATATTTACTCCAATATAGCTATTATAAGTGACAATTCGCATTTCTCGAATATTTTCATTTCGCTAATCATAAATTTTTTAGTTTTTACATTTAGAAAGTATTGTTTCTCGATTTTCTCTAGCAACATTGCATACTCGAATGATCATCCTGCCTTGATCCTTATTCCGAACAACCAATTATCCAAATTTAACACTCGCCTAACGTGGACCCAGTTAAAATCTTACTATTGAGGTATGTGTCCCGTCTTACTCCATTTTCAGACTCCTACTAGGCTACATTTATAATTAATAACGTAAAGTGTAAATGATTTGGACTCAACATTTATAATTAGTAAACTAGTCCATGAAATTAATTAAGTACGAAACAACTGTCTTTCTTCTGTATCCCTAATGAATGGATGAAGTTCTTTTTTCTGTTGGGTCAAATCACTTCTTTTCTAAATGCACTGTACTAAGTTCTGCGCTGCGACATATAAAGGTCTGATAAAACAACGACGACAGTGGTCTCTCAATTAATACCAAGACAAATTATACACGAAAACTGTCCCTGTATGAGAATAAACAAATTCCATGCAGGTGCAAAAAGTCCGGTTCTCTTTTATTACCTTATTATTTACATACGAACAGCTGAGGATAGCATCTCTGTAGCACGAAAACTGCAACGGGAAGAGCTCATGGCACGCCGAGAGAAGCGCCGATGCTGCAATTAGCGATGGTTTGAATCCCACCATCTTGCCCTCTACAGAAGAAAAAAAAGCATGATATTTTGCCGAATCACGAGAAGGGATCAGTCTAATTTCAACTCGGAAACCCACTAAGCAAAAAAAAAATTCTTAAATTTTGTGTTACCATTCTGAGCTCTGAGGATGGTTTCAGTAGCCCGAGCTCTGAGTGCCTGTATCAATGGCGGGTCTTTGAGTTGGAAGTAATGAATGAAGAAAGAGAGGAAGGAGAAAGGAGTGACGGAGCGCATTCTCCATTTCAGAGCTCCCAGTATTAGAGCTTCCATGCGGTGAATCGTCTCTGTGTCGAACATAATTCCTCCACGATTGGCATTCCCCTGCATTAATTTAAAAAACAGAGCGAAGTTAGCCAAATCGGAGAAAAACAGAGGAATTTCATCGAAAAGGGTCTTCATCTGTTTTCCTTTATCAGACCTGAATGTCATTGAGAGAGACCTCTTTGGTTCGGTTCATCATTTTGACTGCCAGGGAGACACAGGACACTCCGAGAAGCCGAACCACCCAAGGCTTTCGTTGCTACAGAGATAGGGAGAAAAAGTACTTACATTTGCGATAGTATTTTGAAGGTACTCTGTTTTCTTTTAAAAGATAGAATGTGCTTCATAATTACCGGCATTCCTTGGTGTGACAAGAACCGGTCGAGGTAATTAACTGCGAGATAGGACAAAAATGGGTCGAAGCAGCAAGAGACCTGAAATGGAACCTGATCCTCGTGAAAAACGAAACAGGGGATTCGCAGGGGAAAAAACAAGAAAAGACAGACCTTTTTTGGGTAGCTCTGTACCTGTAAAATGGAAGAAACAGCTTGCCGACGGAATGAAAAGGCGAAGCCGGCGGGGGTTTTGACGGATTTGGAGTAGGAAAAGGAAGGCATGTGATCAGATTCGACGAGGAATAGAGAAGGGGAAGTATCGGAGTGATCGCCATGGTGACTGGTTAGTGGGTTTTCAAGGTCAAATTCCATTTCTGAATCCTCTGTTTCTATGTTCCGAGTTCCGCTGAGTTTCTCCTAAGAAGAAGAAGGTGAAGACATGGAAGAGAGGGAAGATGGAGCGGTGGAGTTTTAGAAGTAGAACTATAAACCCTGCAATGAGTCTTCTTATGCATATATATGCCTTTTTCTTTTCCCCTTTTGTGATTTTTTTGTCAGTTTTTAATAGGATTTTGTTTGCTTTCAATTTTTCATTTTGCTCTGTGTGTTTGGGGAAGGGGGAATTGGTTTTTGTGGTGGGAAAGAAAAAGTAAAAGGATTGATGGAAGGGGAGACGAGCAGATGGGTCACTGCTTTTATGTTGAGAGACCAAGGCGTGTCAGATTAGAGAGGGATTGGCTAGAGGAGTTGAGAATTTTAGAAAAATTACAAATGGTGAAAGATTGGGAATTTTATTTAGGATGAATCTAAATTAATAAATGAGTAAATAAAATATAATAGCCAATTTTTTTCAATATAAATAAAATAAGAGGTAAAACGTTACATTTCCGTCCAATTGACCGTAAGTTGTCTCTAACGTGGCAATTTAATTGTTGAGTTGTATTTGTTTGACTGAACTTTATTGTAATTTTTTTTAATGATTTTACATTATTATCTATTAATTTTTAAAACAAGAAAATAAAAAAAACAAACTAATCACATCTGAAATCCCTAAGCTCCTCGTCGCCTCTATCTTGCCCGTTCACCCCCGAATTCCGCGATGAGCATCGACGGCCTGGCCATCGCCTTCCCGTCTCTCCTCTCTTACTCCAGGTCCAAATTCGCCTCCTCCTTTTATCCCACTCCCTACCGTCGCCTCTTTCAGTCGGGTCGTCATGTCCGCCGAATGGATGCCCGGCTAGCCCCGACCCTCCCACCTCGACGACTCCGCCCCTGGATACGTGAAACCTTAACCCAACAAACAGATTTTAGTTTGAATTACCTCTGAGGAGCTTGAGCACGCAGATCTTCTTGACCTGGCGTCAGTACTTGTTATAGGGGCAAAAGGCCAGGTCGCTCCAGTCGAAGAAGAAGACGTAGTCGACGGTGAGGCCGGGGCGCTCGACGAAAACCACGTCGTGGTCGCGCATGATATCTTCGGCGGCCTGGGCAGAGCAGACGATGAAGGTCGGGATGGTGCCGAAGTGGAGGAGCATAAAGGGGCCGTAGTTGTCAACGAGCAATTTCAGGTTGCGGTACAGGACGACGCCGACCTGGTGCATGTTTCCGATCAGTGGGAGGGTCAGTAGGACTGGAGGGAGGTTGAGTTTCTTGTTGGGTTGCCTTGCAAAATTACGCCTCTTTTTCTTCTCCTCCACCAATATCATCTAGTTCTCTCATACTAACCACCATGACTATAATCAATCCACATCAACGTATTAAGCATCATCGATTCACCACCTCTTAACATTAACATTGATAAATTGGAACATTAATTATCAGTGTAAATGTTATGTGATTTTGTGTTATTCATGATTTTCCTTACTAATATTATTTCGTATTTATTTTTATATGGACCTTAAAATCTTACTATTCGACTTTACAATTATTCTCATTTTCGATTTTACGTAAAATCCCGATTTTGACTGCTTTGGTTGTTTCCTTAGGATTCTGTCTCATTTTTGTTGCTTGGATTGGAATCGCTTGCTTCTTTGTCGGCCATGGATTTCTTGTACTGTACGGGAGCTTAAGAAGGAACTCCTTATGCAACAGAACTGGTGCAGACAGAAATGTATTAATCAAAGATCACTCCCCCAAAGTGGAACAGAAACACAGCGATGAGAGAGAGTAGAGTGAGAAAGCGAGTGTTCGTGAGGCAGAGCGCAATAGTGATCGAGCGTGAGGATAGTTCGAGTGGGGAGAGATCTTTTCCTTCTTCTTTTGGTTGCAGATACTCTTGCAGTGGGGATCGTCAGTGTGTCGCCGCGTTCCGTAGGTCGTCGAGGCAGGATGTCAGCTTGTATCTCCGGAACTTCCAGAAAGAGGTTCGTGTTGGCCACAAGTCGGTACTTCTTGAGGAATATTGCACCAGATCAGAGAAGCTTTACAGGATCACCGTGGAAGGATGCCCAAATCGTCGAAGATATGTCTACCTTGGATGTTCACATGTCTCCTGGATCCTTGACACCCTGAGTACTACTGCTAGGAACCAATGGACATTCCCTGAAGAATGTTGGAAGGATCAAGGTGGTAGGCTAATCTCCCTTACGATGGTCGTTAACACTCATGGAAGTTTCGTCAAGATTCTTGAAAGGAATAAAGAGGGCAGGGGTTTCTATATTCTGATTCCTGCTGGGAGACTTGTCGAAGGCTGGGAGGCATTTCTTGGAGCTCTGAAGGCCTGCATCAACTTCATTAAACCACCTCGAGTTATTCGTCACAGCAAACCGACCTTAGTTTCACCAGGCAGATCTTTTGCGTCCGTTGTCAAGGAAGGACTTCCCCTTCTGGTAGGTGAATGTAAAGTAAGGCGGTTATCTCAATCTAAGTACATTGAGGTTAGCGAGCGTGGTGTGGATGAGAGGTTGCGTTTTCTCGATCGATGTCTGGCTGTTAGCTTCGTCGGAACCTACAATAGAGGACTGCCCAGTAGCCTATTCAGCACATTTGAAACCTGGGCGAAGAGGAAGTGGAATTTGACCGAACAGTTCTACTTTACCAAACGTTCAGGGGATCTGTGGATGCTTGTTTGCCCGTCTTTACAGGAGGTGATTCGAGTCTAGAGTCGTGGGGACTTGAAGTTTCGTGGTTTCAATGTCTTCCTACGATGCTGGAATGAGCATGAGGGAAGGAGCTTTGCAGCTCAAGCAGGTCTTTCATGGGTTTCGGTCTTTGGCGTTCCGGCTCACCTGAAGTGCCTGGATGTTGCCAGGAAGATTGGGGATGTTTGTGGCGGGTTCATTGACGTCGATTGGGGATGCTGGGAGGAACCTTGTTTCAGGATCAAAATCAGGAAAGGAGCTTGCACTCCGGAAGAAATTCCTCTGTTTTTTGGGTCCACTATGTTCATTGTTAAAGTCATTTCGTCACCGGAAGTGGACAGGCCGGTAGCCGACGTTGATCGGCGTAAATTTCTTACCCAGAATCTCGTTGCTACGACGACATCCGAGAATGTTCAGCCTGATTGGTCCCTCCCAAAAGCCAAGAACAGCTTGTGTAATCGAAGCATCTCAGAGCTCGAGGCATCGGTCGATTTCCCGCTGGAACCCCTGCACGCTCATGCAACTTTGCCGATTTTGAATCGGGGTACTGCCAGGAGTTGTCGTTCCACTAAACATATCTGGGTTAGGAAATTTGGCCCACTTCCCAGGCCCAGCCCATTTGTGTGTGATCCATTTGTCCATGAACCTTCCACCGAGCCCAACCAATTAGCAACCCTAGCCCTTACCCATCTGACCCCCCCAGTTTCCACCCAAACTGACCCCCTCACTCGTTCCTTTTCTCATACCTACCTTTCCTTCCCAACTCACCTTTTTGTCCATAGCCTAACCAAATACCCATTCAACCCAGTACCTTGGCCCCTGTCGAGTTTTCTTCCTTTCTCCTTCAATCCCTTAGTCTCCCAACTCCTTGATACTTCTCCATTCTCCCAACCTTGCATGCCATTTTGTCAACCATCCCAAACCAACCCTTGCCTCGAGTCACCAACATCAGATTCCTCCCTAGCTGACAATCATGAGCCTGAACTTTCTCCCGACCCTTACCTCTCGGATTCTGATCCGCCCTCGCCACCTATATGCCCCAACCCTCCTAATAACTTGTCAAGCTCGAACCAATTAGCCATTGTGCCTTTTAATCCCATTTCGGGTGACTACCTTGAAGAGTGGCAGTTCAAATCCGATTTGAAGAGTTTAGCCGACATGTGCAGACTATGTTGTCAGTTGTTCCGACTAGCTACAGATGGTTCCCCTGAGCGCGCCACCATCCAGGTTGAGGAACTTGCCTGTGAAACTAGAAAGCGTAGAAGAAAGGAGAAGAGATCAAAGCTGGAAATGGAGCGTCATCGACTGGGCGTCCAAGATGTTGATATTCCCTGCTCCAGGACCAGGAGGAATAGGTATGCCTCCTCCTCGGTATCCCAATGAGTCAATCCGTGATAGCGTGGAATGTCCGTGGGCTGGGACTTAGTATCAAACGGTCCAAGATCAAGAGATTACTAAGAAGATGGAAGGCGGGCATTGTGATTCTTATTGAGACTAAGTGGAATAGGTGTAGCCAGAACTTTATCAGCTCAGTTAGTGGGTCTAGAAATTCAGACTGGATTGCCAAGAATGCCAAGGAATCTTGTGGAGGGATTGCCATTTACTGGGAAAGGGGCAAACATAGATTGCTCTATGCGTGCGAGGGGAAGTTCTCCCTTGCGGGCTTGTTCCAGACTGAGAACAGTCAAGAATCCTTCGCCATTTTAGCTGTTTATGGGCCTCAGTGAAAAGAAGATAAATTAGAGTTCATCCAAGAGTTACAGATGGTGTGTCGTTCCTTTTCGAACTCTCTCTGCATCATTGGTGATTTCAACTTGGTGCGTTCCGTTGATGATTACCAAGGGCAGCCCAGGGATCAGGAACTTATGTGGGAATTCAATAACTTCATTAATAATGCTGGTTTGATCGACCTTCCTTTGAATGGTGCGAAATTTACTTGGCGGAGAGGGGGAAGTTCGAATTCCTTTTCGCACATTGATAGAGCCCTCATCAATCTGAGCTTCGATTCTCACTTCAAGCCTGATTCTGTAGTTGCCCTTGCCAGAATTGAATCTGACCACAATCCTATCCTGTTAAGATGGGGTGCTGCTGAACGTTATCGAAGACCTTGGCGGTTTGAGAACATGTGGTTGTTGGAGGATTCCTTCCTTTCTAGTCTTGTAGGGTGGTGGAGCATTCCGGTTTTTGGAGCTGGTGGAGTTTTCAAATTTAGCCAACGGCTGAAGAATGCTAAGGAACTAATAAAAAAGTGGAACATTGAGGAGTTTGGGAGAATTGAGCTAAAAATATCCGATTTGATGGAGAAGATTAGAAACATTGATTGCTTGGAAGAGCAGCAGGAGGTAGGAGAACAATTGATGATTGAGAGGGCTTTGCTGAAATGTGAGCTTGAGAAGGTGCTGATTATGGAGGAGATTTCTTGGCGCTAGAAGTCGAGACAGCTTTGGTTGACTGTTGGTGATAAGAATTCTGGTTTTTTCCATCATGTTGCCTCGAATAATAGAAGGAGAAACACCATTCAGAGTATTAGAGTGAATGGTAACCTTACTCAGGGCAAGAAGAGTTGCAGAATGCCTTTATCAGTCATTTTCAGAACCGGTTCAAGGATAGTAGTACCAGCCTTCCTTTTCCCACCTCCTACAAAGAAGGCCTGATAACTATTGATGATAATCATAACTTGACTAAGCCTTTCACTCTTGATGAAATCTGGGCTGCTATTGCCGGATGCAATGGAGACAAGGCTCCCAGTCCGGATGGCTTCACTATGGAGTTCTACAAGAAAGGTTGGAATATTGTTGAAAATGACTTGTTAAAGGCATTTGATCACTTCTTTCTTACCGGGGAGCTTTCGGTTTATGTTGCTCACTCATTCCTGTGTCTGATTCCCAAAAAAGAAGCTGTGGAAGAAGTTCGTGACTTTAGACCTATCAGTCTCATTGGCAGCCTTAATAAATCATATGTAAGGTTCTGTTTGCTAGAGTTCGACCACTCATTCAGTCTATCATCTCCTATTACCAGTTTGCGGGTGTTAGGGGTCGTCAGAGTCACGAGGCGAACTTCATTGCTAATGAAGTCATCGATACCAGGAAAAGGAGTGGGAAGTCGGGGTTGGTTCTGAAACTTGATATAGAAAAGGCCTTTGATTCGCTGAATTGGAGTTGTCTTTTTAATATTCTCAAGTCTATGGGATTTAATCAGAGGTTTCAGAAGTGGATTAAAGGAATTGTATCTCATTCAAAACTATCGTTCTCGTCAATGGAGAAGCAACAGGTTTCTTCAAATGGAGAGGGGCCTTAAACAAGGGGATTCACTTTCACCCTTCTTATTTAACCTGGTTATGGACATCCTTGCTTTTATGCTTCATGAGGCGAATGCAGCGGGATGGTTATCGGGGTTTTGTATGGATGAAAAGGGAAGAATAGGGGAAGTTTTTCAGATTCTTTTTGCAGATGATGCTATACTATTTTGTGATGCTTCAGAGCAGGAAGTTTCCAATTTGTTAGCTGTCCTTTTGTGTTTCCAAGCGTTTCAGGTTTGAAGATTAATTTGGAAAAGAGTAAGCTTTTTCCAGTTGGGGATGTGCCGCATTTGGAGAGGTTGGCTGATCTCTTGTGTTGCGATTGGGAGTTCCTTCCAACAATCTATTTAGGCCTGCCGCTTGGTGCCTCACCGGTTGCTGGCAGCATTTGGAATCCATTGATTTCTCGAATGCAGGCTAGACTCGAAGGTTGGAAAGGAAAATTCTTATCGTTTGGTGGCAGATTAGTGCTTATTCAATCTGTTCTGGCTAGCCAACCGACTTATATGTGCTCCTTGTTCAGGGCTCCTGCTCATATTGTTCATGTCATTGAGAGATTACAGAGTTCCTTCCTTTGGTCGGGAGCTAACGATCAAAAGAAGTTCATTTGGTGTCTGGGAACGATGTAAACGACCTAAATCGCTTGGTGGACTTGGTATCCCGGATTTCAAAAGGCATAATAGTGCTTGCTTGCAAAATGGTGGTGGAAGTTTGCTTCGGAGGATAGCTGGTGGAAAAGGTTGATGAGTTTTAAATATCCAAATAATGAATCGAAGTGGATGCCAGGTAAACCCCTCTCTCCGGTGGGTTGTAGTCCATGGTCGCAGGTGTTTAAATTGAAAGATGAGTTCTGGAAGTTTGCAATAGTTAAACCTGGCTCAGGCGACAACATCTCTTTCTGGAATGACCGGTGGATTCATGGAATTACTCTTGCTGAAGCCTTTCCTAGAGGAGCGGCGGCTGCTGTTTTTCCCCGAGCAAGATTATCTGATATCCTTTTGAGAGTTAATGAGAGTTTTTCTTGGGATATTGATTTTAAATACCAGCTTAGGGGGGGAGCTGAGAGGGAAATGGAGAGTCTGTTTTCTACTATCAATAACAACTTACCTTTGCTTTCATCTGGCCAGGACACAATTAGTTGGCTGCCTACCTCGTCACACTCCTTCACTGTTCGCTCATTGTACCAGCAGCTCTCGAAGGAGGCTGTTGCTAGTCTTTTGACGGCCGGCCAGATTGACGACTTCCCCGCAAAGACCGTTTGGCAGAACCACATCCCCTTGAAGATTTGTATGTTTGTTTGGCTGATATTCCATCGAAGAATTCTCACTCAGGATGCACTAAAACGAAAGGGAAGGAGCTTGCCGAATAGGTGCTATATGTGCACTGCAAGTGAAGAGGAGCCGAACCATCTTTTCCTTCATTGCAGGTTCACTGAGGAAGTCTGGAGCACCATTAGTCACTTCATCTATTTTAATCACAGGATAATCTGTAGGGATATCTCTGGCCTGATCAAGAGCTGGCCCCGTCTTGATCCTCAGAATCCAAAAGAGTGGTGCACGAGATCACTTCTACATGCTCTACTTTGGGGTGTTTGGATTGAGCGGAATAATAGGATCTTTGAAGAGAAGTTTTCAACTCCGTCGGTCGTCTCCTTCAAGATTGGAAGTATGATAGCTTCATGGTTGGTAGCTGCTGGTAAAATCGACAAGTCGTGCGGGGAGAATTGGATTCATAATCTCAGAAGGGCACTCCTTCCCAGAAATGTCTTGTAGCCATTCTTCTTCTTCTTCTTGTTCCTGATGTGCAGCTCCTCTTGTTCTTGGGGCTGATTTGGCGCTTCCTTGCACTTGTTCATACTACTTCAGATACCACCATGTCGTCAGCTGCCACCGTAGTGCCTGCTTTGCTGGAGTGTTTTGGCCTGTTTGTCTGTTAGTTTGTCTTGTGCCTTTGCTTTGAACTGTTGGTTTCTTTTTCTTTCCCCTGGTCTGTAAGCTCTAAACTCTTTACTTAATTAATGAATTCCACCTTTATCAAAAAAGATCACTCCCCAACCTAAGCGTAGGACGCAGCCTAGGTTATCCTGATGCACAGTGATACCAAATATAAGAAAACGAGACCCATTGATTAGAGAAAACCTAATCTCAGGAAACTCTCACTCTTATACCCTAAAACACTTGAGTCAGAATGAGGGTTTTTACTCAAAAAAATAACTCTCACTCCTTACGTTCAAATAGCTAAAAAGCAAGATCGTTCTGACGTAGAAGTTGTTTCGTAACTCTATATACCACTCACAAGCTCATTTACCGTTCATTAGTCGGATATGGATACCTTGTTGTAGTCGAAAAAACCGGCTCAAGATAGGTGCATAACCATGGGTTATGCACCCATCAATAACCAAATCTGGACCCTTCATTTAGAAAATCCAGATCTAAGGATGGAGAATTAAAGGCTATTTTTATTTTCACTAGCTTTCTTAATTGACTCATATCTTTTTCGTTTTAACTCGGATTTTAATTTTTTTTGCACAGATGGAACGAGTTCACCGTGCTCTACAAAATGAGATCAATTTTCAATATTTTTTAGGAAAAAAAATTCTGGCCTCTCGGTACCAACTGCATACCATATGGTATCTTCTTCGTTTTTAATTCGTTTTTGAAAACGTTTGCACAGCAGGGATGAGTTCATCATTGATCTACTGGATCTACAAATTTCTGGGTGAACAAATTACAGGACAAAAAAATACCACACAATACCATACAATACCACCCTGGTACGGGGTGGTATTGTATGGTATCTTTTTCGTTTTTAATTCGTTTTTGAAAACGTTTGCACAGAAGGGACGAGTTCATTATGATCTATTGGATCTACAAATTTCTGGGTGAACAAATTACAGGACCAAAAAATACCACATAATACCATACAATACCACCCTGGTACAGGGTGGTATTGTGTGGTATACAATGTTAAAAGTCGTAAATTACAATTAATATACTTCTACTATCATGTATTCAACCATCCTACAATATTGGTTTGTTCATACCACCATGGTACGTTTTTCAAAACATAGGTATGCTTTTATTTCAATACCAGTCAATACCATATGGTATAGGCTGGTAAAAAATGGCTCAATTTTTTTTGTTCGAAAAATATATTAAAGTGGATATCATTTTGAAAAGCACAATTAATCTGATCTAACTGTGCAAAAAAAAAAAAAAATTCGACTTAAAATGAGCGAGAAATCGTTCGTCAAAGATTAAAGAGGGAAAAATTAAAGACTTTCCATGAAAGAGAGGATGCTGATGTGGACGGGTTACTCATAGTTACTCACCATAAGATTACTGACCTGATCCATTCCCGAAAAAACCTATTAACTCGAAGAAAACCTCAAGTAGCTAGGTTTCTAAGAGAGAAACTCTCAATATCCGTTTCTGACCTATCATAATGAACATGGAAGAGAGACGGGAATTTTCAAAATACACAGATGATATACAAGTAACGGCACACATATACGGAGTCTGCTTGTATTCGTGTAAACTGAGCTCTCAAGTTCATGGAGTTTGCTCCATCAGCACAGACAACAAAGAAATTCCAACTTTCATATCAGTACATCTTTGCATTCGATCCATACGGAGGTTTCATAAGAGAAGAAAGCTCCTAAGACCACCATGGAGCATCTCCAGTTCTGAAATCGGTTTCTACCCATGGAACGAATACCACTTTGCCATCTTCTACATCAGCATGAGCCAATGCCAACGACTGCAATCAAGAAAAACTCAAACAATAAGGACCCTTTTCGAGTTAAGAAAAAGGGTGGGAAAGATAAATAGAGTCGACAGAGCTAGATGGTTACCAAAGGAGCCGGTCCTCTAACCACTCTGCCTTGATCATTGTACTGGGATCCATGGCAGGGGCAAATGAACTTGTTCTCAGCAGCATTGAACGGCACAACACAACCGAGATGCGTGCAAACGGCATTGATACCGTATGTTGCAAGTGTTCTGTCTTTCTCGACCACAAGGTAAGTAGGATCTCCCTGAGAAAGAAAACCATCGAGTTGCATGATTTTACAGAGTTCAGAGAAAACATAAAAGCAGCAGTGCATTGCAACATCCATTCACTGCAGAATCCATTGTTAAGAGGGGAGGGGGGGAAGCAGCAAAACAATCATTCGTGCAAATCCGAATGCGTAATGAATCCAGAAGATCTCAAAGTGGGGATCAAATTTACCTTCAGTCCTTGAGTAAGGGTTCGGTCTCCAGGGCCATGAGTCTTGAGCCATTGTTCAGCAAGGACATCATTTCCAACGGCATCCTTAGCCACTGTACCACCACCACCACCTCCAGTTCTGTTGAAAATGATTTCCAAATGAGTGGTAGCAAACGAAAGCCGAAATATAATCATTCAAACAAAGAGAAGCAGCCAGGTACAGGAACTAGGAAAACTACCCCAAGCCTTAATTAATCCACACAGCATAGTCCAGGATTCAATCTGATCAAAATTTGACATGAACGGTAGAAAGTTTCTAGGTCTGTAATCCTGAGGCAACTAGCTAGGTACCAACAGATAACAATCCAATAAGGTAGCAACTCCAAACCAAAACACAACCAAATTCAATTGTTTGGCAGATAAAATAAAATAGCTCTCTGTCTCTGGGGCAATAAATTGGACCCTTAAAAGGGATTAAAGAAAAAACCATTACCCAGTGGGGACAAAGAAAGAGGCATATGGAACCAGCATCCCAGCAGTGGGGAGAGATATAGCTCCCAACAGAAGCAAATTCATCAGCTCCCTTTTGCCCATGTCAGGAACACGATCGGCTGGGATGCTAGTTGCCTGGCACGAGACCTTCATCACTCTGTCCCTTCCACCAGCCACATGGGTTCTCGCCGGCTTCACAAAGGCAGCATTTGCTGGAGCGAAAAGGCCGCTTTTGCTCGAGCAGAGCTGGAATGGAACACCAAAAAATAAGTAACCGGGCTTCTGATTCAACGAAAGGTAGCCAAGTTGGTAAATTTGGTGAGGTTGTGCAAGATGATTGATTACTTACCTGAGAGTGTGTGGCAGGAGAAAGAGTGGAGGAAGCCATCGAGGAGAGGATTATTAGCTTGGAAGAGGGAAATGATGAGATTAGAGAGCTTCAAGTTGTAGGGATGAAGATATTAAGCAGATGGAGGAAATTTTGCAGAAATTGGTGAAGGAAATCAGAATTGGTGAGGGAGTAAGGACGACCACAATTGAGTAAAGGATAAGGCAAGTTTGCTATAGCCAGTTAGCCACAAGTTGCTTCAAGCCCTCAACTTGAAGATCATGCTCCCTCCCTCTCACTAAACGCAACTTCTTTGTCTCGTTTTGGGCTTTAGCGTTTCCCATTCTTATGTTGGTGAAGCGGATGGGCCTTGGAGAAAATGCAGAAACAATCTGAACAGGCCCAACAAATGGGTGACATATTCCTCATTTCACTTGCAACACTCTTGGGTAATGAGTTGGGTTATCTCCTTTCCCGGTTGAGTTATAAAGCCAATGAGCTTCACTTCTCTCCACATCCGTTGGTCTCAAATCCAGCAGTGTCGTGTGGTGGAATTGGAAAGACACAAGTTTGATGGGCTCAAAACAGTCCGGTCCACTCAAACTCGTCCCAAACTCCCCAATTGACCGATTAAGCAGATTAAATTTAGCCACATTTTAACGGAGATTGAATCTATCTACACAATATAATAAGCCAATGTCAGAATAAGCGATTTGACACCTCAGCCTCCTCTCGCCAGCCCGCAGAGTTCGGATGGGCATAGGTGTATTTTCATCTCTCCCCGTAAACCACTTCACTTAATTTAACTTTTCATTTTCCTTTTTTTATAATTTTCTTGGGGAGATTTTACCTACATTTACACTGTGCTGTTAGGGATGGCAAAAATATCCGTAACCGTGGATATCCGTCCAAATCCGATCTAATCGGGTAGGGTAAAACCCGAACCCGAAGGACTTTTAGTGGGTACGGGTAACACCCGAACCCGAACATTGCGGGTAATGGGTGGGCATGGTATTCTCACTATCCAACCCGAACCCGCCTGATTATACACATGCATATGTATTTTGTCTAGAAATAATCAATAGTTTTCTCTAACATACTTTATATTTAGCATATAAATATAATTTTGTTTATGAAATTATGTTGTTTTAATTAATTTTCTTCATTCTAGTGAATTATTGTCGTACTTTTCGTCTTACGTAACGTGAGAATACATGTAAATATTAACATATTGGTTGGAGTTATAAAGAAAAACTATTATCCTTGGATAACCGTGGATACCCGAAACCCGAACGGGTATGGGCATGGTTTGGATTTTCTACCCGTTTCTTATGTGGGTATGGGCATGGGTAAAACCCAAACTACTTTGGGTAGGGTAACGGATATGCACTATCCGTCCCCGACCCGACCCATTGCCATCCCTATGTGCTGCATGCCTGCATCCATGTGGTGATTGATGGGTTGACCATTGGGCTTGGATTAACTCAAGGTTTTTTCATATTGTTTATCTTTCTAAAATTGTTTATAATGATAAATTAAAAAAGAAGAGAGTTCTAGGAAAATGATATCTCAATTTTTCATCCCGTAGGATACCAATATTCTTTCAAAAAAAAAAAGATGCCAATATTAAATCCACTCCATCTTTCATCCATCTAAACAACTATGTCGATAACCAATGAAATTGTGTTTTTTTTACTCAGTCCAAGCTGAAACTCACATCTCCCATTACTATGTCGCTAGCAAACGGGTTAATTCGTTCATGTTTTTTTCTCATAGGACTAAATCTCAACTCTGATTATCATTGTCCGTTCCAGATAAATGACTTTGCGGCTTCACATGAACTTTGGAAATGACTTTTAGTAGACAAAGTGTAGAAGTTTCCTTTGAGGAAAAAAATGATCATCTTTTCAACTCCTGCTTAAAATTTTCATGTAAAACATAATTATAATATAATTATGATAAAAGGAATCGGTATGGAGTCACTGGATATAATTTATTTACCTTATATATAAGGTTCAAAAGTTTATGCACATGTACCGTCACAAATACTATAGTCGTTGGCACTCTTTACAATTAAAATTTTTCAAATCAATCACAATTTGGGATACTATGTTTCCCAAACCACCACAATTCCACACTTTTTTAATGAATTCCACACTTTTTACACGCTCTATATTAGGGAAAAATCCAAAACTACCATCGTTAAATTTTTTTTATACTAAACTACCACCCAACCCAAAAAATTTACAAAAATACCACCATTAATCAAAAACCGCACCCCGAAGGGGCGGTTCTCCTTCAAATCGCGTGGGGAAGGAACGACTCACAAATAAACAGCATATGCTAAGGCTACGGTTTCTTTTATATGGTCAAACCGCCATCTAAGGAAGCGGTTTCTATGGCTGCCCTAGCAAAGCCGCGTGCTCGGGGAACGGTTATTTGTCGGCAGCAGAAATCGCACCACAAGCATGCGGTTTATAATGTCGAGGCACAAACCGCACCCCCCTGCGGTTTAGGTAAGATGAGTACGTACCGCTTGATAGTCATCATAAAAAATACCCTCTTCTTCGAAAATATCCGCCATTTTTTTCAGGAAGCCGGACAGGGATTCGACATGTTTTGAAGGAAAAACCAAAGAAAAGTTTTCTGATGGCAGTTCGGACTTAGCCGCAACCAAGCGAGCACTATTTCCTAGGTTTTTTGGTGGAGAGTGGGATGGATAGAGTGATAAACTTAGAGAGAGAGAGGATTGGTTTTGGTGGGAAGAAAATGAAAGGAGGGGGGTATTTATAGTGTATGGCCTGCCTGGTAGGGGGCGATTTTGTAATTTCCCACCAAAAGAAACCGCGCCCCCCGCACACAATTTTCTTTTCCCGTAGTGTAAACCGCGCCCTCAGGGAATAGTTATTGCGACTAGACGCGGATCGCTCAGCTGGCGTGCGGTTCGCCGTCGGATCGTCTACCCATCGCATGGTTGCATGGGCCGCCACGTGGAGGTGCGGTTTTCCGGCTTTCCTAGCAAGAACTGTTCCTTCCCCACGCGGTTTGAAGGAGAACCGCCCCTTCGGAGTGCGGTTTTGATTAATGGTGGTAGTTTTGTAAATTTTTTGGGTTGAGTGGTAGTTTTGTAATTTTTTTAAAACGACGGTACTTATGGATTTTTCCCCCTATATTAGGTCCAATCTTTATTTGAAATGGAAAAAAAAATAACCCATGAAGATATAGGTAGAAGTCATTGAACAAAAATATACACAGAATTTATTCTTACATACTAATCAAATATGATATGTAGCTGCTACATAGTGCTGGAACTATTATGGCTACTGTCAAAGTTTTGCTATAAGAGACTTCGAATTTACATGGAAGATACTTAGGAGAAAGCCATGAAATCTCTAGCAATAATCAATAACAGGGTGCAGATGAAGTCGAATAAATTTTTGTGTGCTTCATTTTGAAAGCGTCCAATCATTCATAAAAAAATATCCAATTTAGTTTTTTTTTATGTAAGCTAAGGAGCAATGTTCTAATTATTAAAGCACAATCGTAAAAGTAAAAGTCCACAAGCTAAAGTGGAATGCATTAACCAAGAAATCTTCAGAAAAAATCATGAATCTCAAAGCATGTATATTGTCTTCAACTATAAACTTTACCGGAGAGTCAAGACCATATGAACATTATTAATTTTTGTAGCGGGTGAGTATAATAACTAAATGAAACCCTACATTTTGATGTAAATTTGTATGTTAAATATTAAGAGTCCTCAAATAAGGCATACGTTAGGAGCTAAATGATTTTTGGTGAATAAATATGTCCAAGAAAGTAGAAACTAGCAATGAGAAGGCCAGAGAACTTTTATATTTTGATTCTTAATTCTCAATTTATAACATAATCTTTGAGAACATTGAGATGATGTGGAAAACCATAATCAAAATATTAGTAAGGGTTAATAGCATTTTATGCCCCTCTACTATTGCAAGTTAACAAATGTACCCCTCTACTATTTTTTCGCACAAACATACCCTTCTATTATCGGAAGGTAACAAATTTAACCTTCCGTCAATTTCTCCATCCACTGACCGTTAAAAGGAACGGTAGTGACTAATTTGCCCCTCCAGGCCCAACCCTTGTTTCTTTCCCTTCAATCCCACTGTGCGACTTTCCTTTCCCTTCTCCAGCAGTCGACTCCCCCCCCCCCCCCCCCCCCCCCCCCCTTCTTTCGCTTCAATCCTACCTTGTCCAACCCTCAATCCTAATCCTCTGATGTGCCTCTCGCCATCGTAGCTGCCGATGTGGCTTCCTAAATCCACCGCCTCAATGAGCAGGGCTACCGCCATACCAAAAGCCGCACGATCTCAAGAAGAGATCCACCGGCTGTAGCTAAAATGGAGCTTCTCATAATTTTAGGAACTTACACAAAGCAGAAAGGCAGAAGCTTCCCCTTCCCCAATAAAAAACGCTACAAAAATAAATATATTACACAGGGTTTCATTCTAAATCTAAAGCCAACAAAACATATACAAAGACGCTCAAATCTTCAATTGGAACCTCCTCGTTCAGCCGAGATTTGGGGGAAAATCGAACTGCTCTGTTGGGAGCTCTAGGAGCTTCAATCTCGTTAATCTCGCTGTCGTAATAGATTGTCGGGGAAAGGAACGCACGGACCTCTTCAATGGAGTCCGCCATCACTGCGTCCAACAGCTTGCTGCAGAGCCTCTTCAATGGAGTCCGAGGACTCATCTCCAAATCCCAGAAGCAGTTCAGGTTCTGAGAGACGACGATCCTCTTCCTTCCGAATGACCTCACCCTTGCGAACTCGAACAGCGGGCACTTCTCACTACCGCCGCCGCTGCAGGCGGCGTAGTAGCTCGACGACGACTACCAGTTCATCGAGCTGCATCTCCTACCTATTGGAAATGGTAAGTGATTAAATCTCTTCTCCGTGTTGCTTTTAAAAGTGAACGGAGGTTTTGTGGAGTTTATCTTTAGAAACAAAATTTGTTATTGTTGTGTTGTTTTTCTATTTATGCTGAAAATAATTAATAAGTGAAAAGGAAGGGGCAAAATAGTCACTTCACACTCCCTTTAACGGTCAATGGATGGAGAAATTAACAGAAGGTTAAGTTTGTTACGTTTTGATAATAGAAGGGTATGTTTGTGCGAAAAAATAATAAAGGGGCACGTTTGTTACCTTGCAATAGTAGAGGGGCATAAAATGCTATTAACCCTATTAGTAATGTGTATGTGCTCACTTTACCTGTATAAAGAATATGAGAAAATCTATAATTATCAACTAATAATCAAGCG